CTATCTAGAGGCAGAGCCAGCTGTACCCGCCCCCTCCCCCGTCCGTTCCGCCAGTCAGCGCTGGAAGATCGGAGCAGGGAGGGGGGAATCCAGCCCCTCCCCTGTCACGGCAGAGAGCTGTGACAGGATCGAGAAGTGAGCGAACGCCGGTGTGTGTGCGCTCACTTCCCGATCTACTGAGCCGACCTGTGTCCCCCCAGCTTCCGCCGCCTGTGTCCCCCGCCTCACCGCTCCGTCTTGTGTTTCCAGGTTCTACTCCAACAGATATCTCAGGAAATTGCCCAGACTGAGATGGATCTGAACACTGCCATCAATCAAGCATACAGAGGGTGATGGAAAATGAGCAGAATACGTATTGAAAGTTCCCCTCATCACAGGAGGTCACATGAGCGCCGTCCGTCCGTCTGATTTTTGTCTGTTTAAATATAATTTATTAATAAACTATTTATTAACTGCACCCTAGTTATCGCCTCCTGTGTTTGTGAAGCGGGACCTGGGCTGTCCTAGAGGATGCTGGTGTAAGACATGATGGGACCGTGACGCACACGTCTTGGCCTGGTGATGTCACACCTTCATGATGTCATCGCATAAAATAACACCGGATCGCCGCTGCAGATATCTGAAGGCAAGCTTGGCGCTTGGCTGCGGTGAAACTAAACATCCTTTTAATGTCTCTGGGAGTCATGCCTGTGGCTGTTGGTGTAGCAATGCCTCATGGGACTTGTAGTTCCACAACAACTGGAGTGCCGTGGTTGCCCATCCTTGGAATAGATTGTGTTTGGCGTAAAAACTGTAATGCAATAGACTGCAAAACATATACGATGATGCCATCTACGGTCGCTAAATACATCATGATTAATAGTTTCTAGAACCAAAGAGGGAACAATGGCAGCACAGTGACTTTCACATATTTTTTTTCCAATATAAACCGATCAGCCATAAAATTCTGAGAGGAGCACATTGATAGAACCAAAGAGGGGGGATATATTAGTGACACCTGGAAGTGGGGGGGGATATATTACAATGACACCTGGAAGTGGGGGGGATATATTACAATGACACCTGGAAGTGGGGGGGATATATTACAATGACACCTGGAAGTGGGGGGGATATATTACAATGACACCTGGAAGTGGGGGGGATATATTACAATGACACCTGGAAGTGGGGGGAGGTTATATTAGGCAGAAAGTGAAAAACAAATTTCCCGGAAGTTGATGTTTTGGAAGCAGACATAATGGACACGTGTGAGGATTTGAGGAACTCCGACAAGGACCAAATTGTGATGTGTAGATGACTGGATCAGAGCAACTCCAGCACTGCAGCTCTTGTGGGATGTTCCCGGTCTGCAGGGGTCAGAACCGACCAAAAGTGGTCCAAGGAAGGAAAATCGTTGAACCTTCAAGGGCCAAGGCTCACTGATGCACATGGGCACCGTTTCTGGGCCGTGTAGTCCGATCCAATAGAAGAGATCAGATTTCTGGTTCTGATAGAAAGGCGTCTGAACACACAGAGCATCGCAGGTTGTTGTGTATGGGGCTGTTTAGCTGCAGACCAGTCAGGGGGCCCGTGCTGACCCGTGTCCACCACCAAAAATACCTTCAATGGGCACGTGAGCATCAGAACTGTACCGCGGAGCAATGGAAGAAGGTGAGCATCAGGGCCGGTGCACGGAGAGAGGGGGGGGGGGGTCAGGAGGAACTATCAAGAGCTCAGTTTTTGAAAGATTGACTTTTAAGAAGTGTTGTTACTTACTCCGGATCCCCGTATAACCCGCTCATGTCGTTCTCATAGAGGATGCAGGACCCGAGCCGGGGCTGGAGGACCACTGCAGGTCTCCGGGTCATCCGGTGTACAGCCAGAATCTAGGAAAACCAATGTAGCGCCCATCACCTTTGGTGAAGTGCTTACTATCTATTTAGTGATAGCCAGGGCTGTAGGCAGCCTGGTTGAAATTTATAGCAGCCAGCACATGGTTAATCCCAGGTGTCCAACCTTGTCTGTACCCCCCTAGGGCGGAGTGAGACTCTGTCACATTATGGGACAGCCAATGGGTGACACTGTGATATGTGTACAGGGCAGCAGCCAGTTACTGGGCTTCTTGTAGCCAGTGATGTCTGTTGACAAAGGATATATATATTGGTGGGAGGCCATGTGCTCGCTCTCTTGCCTGGACCAGCCATGGACTGAGGTTGGGTCCTGTTCGGCCAGGCCGAGGCCTGGGGGTGGGAGTTGGCTGAGCTGCTGAAGGAGAAGCCTCCTTGAGAGTTTGCAGTCAGGAGAATGCCTGTAAGAATGGAAGAGCCAGGACCCGTGTGGGCTTTTGAAGTGCCTGGTATTCAGGGGGACTTCTGAGCGGGGTCAGTGTTCTTCCGAGGATTGTGGACATGTACTTCACGAAGATAAGATCTGGTGAGTCTGGAGCTATGGAGGCCGGTGCACCTAGACCCTATACCCTCTCTCCCTAATTAGAAGTGAATAAACTGTTTAACCAGCATCTCACGATTGGAGCGGACTTCAATTTATGGGCACAGGAAGAGGGCGGTTAATGCTAATGGGGCAGTTAAAAATCTATCCCTAGACTGACTAGATATGGACCTGTTCATCCAGCGGCTCCTTCGGGGGTGAGCGCTACACCAACAACAGAAGGTGACCGGCTGTTCTATCGGAGCTTTACTAGAAGTCAAATGTTCTGTACATGAAGGTGAAACTCTCACAGTGGCGGACTTCTCACAGACCGTGTGAAGGAATAATTTCACCTTTTACAGAAAAGAAAAATGGGCATTTATTTATTTTATTATTTCTTTCTTATTATTATACAGGATTTATATAGCGCCAACAGTTTGTGCAGCGCTGTACAATATAAGGAAGACATTACAGTTCAAGGCACAATGGTAAGGAGGGCCCTGCCCCTGAGGGCTTACAATCTAAAAGGGGAGGGGCCAGTGATACATGAGGAGGTATTAATGTTTTTGCACATGAGCCAGCAGAGCATTGCAGCACCACGATCAGTAGACTACAGGTGCAATGCTCTGCTGGCTCCTACAGACTCTTCCTTCCGCCTGTACTTGAGGTACGCACATGCAGTAACATGGACGGAAGGAAGCGTCAATGAGACTGTGAGTACGGTGATGTCACAGCGCTTGTATTTCGTCTACCGCGGTAGATGGGACCTACAGACATCTACGGGGCTGCCTTGTTCCTGCAAGGCCGGGACAGAGGGGACGTGGGGCGCAGGATGTAAACAAAGAAGGCTGCGGCAGTCGGATCTTGTAAAGTATAGATCAGCGGAGACGTGATTATTGTGTTTATTGGTGAATCAAGCCACGATGCCAGAGAGACTAATGGAGTCTGCAGCTCTGGAATGGGGGACAGATAGGAGACAAGGGCAATGGAAGAGGTGAGAATATCACTTTTAGTGAAAGGCACCTTTGGCACCTGTGTTGATGGCCAAGGTTATATTCACATACAAGTCTAAATAAAATCCAAAACCCCCTTGAAGCAGGTCAAATTCAGGTCATTATGGGGCACAACTGCAGGCCAAATACATGTCATTAGGGGTCAATTGCAGGTCATTAGGGGGCTTTTGAGTTAAGATCCTTCCTCTGCCCTCAATGCGATACATTTGCTTCCTCCCTCCTCAGGTCTTATCTTTCTATTAATAAGACTCTATGGTATAAATAGGCCCTGAAGAGTACACATTGCTCCACCCTACTTACTCCTCATTACTTTTTGGGAGAAGCACTTCAAGGTCCCTAATCTCCAGGCCAACACAACGTCAGCCCCTACCTTCTATCTGTCTTTGCTGCCCATGACAAACATGGCCGCGGCTGGCTCCAAGGCGATACGACGTAAGCCCCACCCACCTTTGCCTTTGTGGTGGCGCCCGGTGTTCTATTGAGAATGCCGCAGATGGTGAGGTCGATATTTTCGACTGGGACCCCGGCGGCTTCAGGGCCACAAAAAGTTAGCTCCACACGCCTTTTACCTTATCGCTGCCCAGGACAAAAATGGCGGCGCTGAGTTTTGCTCGGGAACCGGGTGATGACGTCACAAAACGGTGGCACTTGACGCGGGTAGTTCGAATCGGGGAAAAGGGCTGTGTGGTATCTGTTCCGAGTTGAGTGGGGCAGGTAAGGCCTGAGAGGGTCTTAAGGTCTCTTATTGTAGTTCAGTATGCTGCCTTGGTGTCCGAATGAGTGACTGACTGGGTCGGTGGTCTATGTACAGCGTGACAGTATATGTCAGAGCTATATATGAATAGTGTGTGACTGTGAGGGGACATTAGAGTGTAAGCTCCTCTGTACAGAGACTGCTGTGACTGTGGGGGGGGGACATTAGAGTGTAAGCTCCTCTGTACAGAGACTGCTGTGACTGTGGGGGGGGGACATTAGAGTGTAAGCTCCTCTGTACAGAGACTGCTGTGACTGTGGGGGGGGGACATTAGAGTGTAAGCTCCTCTGTACAGAGACTGCTGTGACTGTGGGGGGGGGACATTAGAGTGTAAGCTCCTCTGTACAGAGACTGCTGTGACTGTGGGGGGGGGACATTAGAGTGTAAGCTCCTCTGTACAGAGACTGCTGTGACTGTGGGGGGGGGACATTAGAGTGTAAGCTCCTCTGTACAGAGACTGCTGTGACTGTGGGGGGGGGACATTAGAGTGTAAGCTCCTCTGTACAGAGACTGCTGTGACTGTGGGGGGGGGACATTAGAGTGTAAGCTCCTCTGTACAGAGACTGCTGTGACTGTGGGGGGGGGACATTAGAGTGTAAGCTCCTCTGTACAGAGACTGCTGTGACTGTGGGGGGGGGACATTAGAGTGTAAGCTCCTCTGTACAGAGACTGATGTGACTGGCTCAGTGTTCTCTGTACAGCACTGCGGTATATGTCAGAGCTATATCAATGTATAATAATAGTGTGATCGCCGCCATCTTTCCACGATCGGTTTACCTCTCTTGTTTATATTTCACAGGCGCCGCCATGATGGGGTTACCGTGGCGATGAAGCGTTCTCGTCTCGCTCCTCCACTTGGATTCGTTGGATCAGAATTTGGAAAGACGCCATAAGCCCGCTTTATGTCATGACGTGACCGAGGAGACATGACGCCGAGCTGATATGACGCAGGCGAGCGTTGGCGGGGGTCCTGGCTGCGCCTCCGCTGGGGTTGGATGTTCTATTTCAATGGACTGATGAACGATAAACACGCGTCTGCACCATGCGCGGTCGGACGGGGGCGGGGTTACCGGGGAACGGAGCCAGTCTGGCCAAAATCTTGTTCGGAGGTTTGGAGTCGAAGGAAGACGAACGGGCCAAGAAGCCGGCGGCGGTGAAAGGAGCCCTGGGGCCACACAACAGCCGCAAACGTCGCCGTCCCGGGTCCCTCTCCAGTTCGGGGACGGAGGACTCCCCCAGCTCCTCGGCGTCCAAGAAATTGGCGCTACACGAGTATAGAAAACATGGCAAATCCAGAGCGTCAAACGCTGCCGTGTGTACAAGACCGCGGACCGCGAGCAGGGGAAGGACATCGGCAGATACCAGCACGGCATCTGCCGCTGATAAGGACTACATCCTGTTCAGTCCGGCGCAGCAGGCGTCCATACTGGAGAGACAGAAGAGTGGGGACCGGAACACCAGTGCTAGGCTGTCTGTGTCTGTTCTTGCGCCCCCTGCTGGTCTGGAGCGCACGCTGCTGGAGAACAGCCTCGCTGCTACGGGTAGGTTACACAGGGTGACTAGTCTTGTCCCTGCCCCCTCCTGTAATCAAGACCGGTCACTGCTGCTCTCTCTCCTTGTGCAGGATGACTGGTCTTGTCTCCGCCCCCGCCTGTAATAAAGCCCAGCCACTGCTGCTCTCCTTGTGCAGGATGACTGGTCTTGTCTCCGCCCCCGCCTGTAATAAAGCCCAGCCACTGCTGCTCTCCTTGTGCAGGATGACTGGTCTTGTCTCCGCCCCCGCCTGTAATAAAGCCCAGCCACTGCTGCTCTCCTTGTGCAGGATGACTGGTCTTGTCTCCGCCCCCGCCTGTAATAAAGCCCAGCCACTGCTGCTCTCCTTGTGCAGGATGACTGGTCTTGTCTCCGCCCCCGCCTGTAATAAAGCCCAGCCACTGCTGCTCTCCTTGTGCAGGATGACTGGTCTTGTCTCCGCCCCCGCCTGTAATAAAGCCCAGCCACTGCTGCTCTCCTTGTGCAGGATGACTGGTCTTGTCTCCGCCCCCGCCTGTAATAAAGCCCAGCCACTGCTGCTCTCCTTGTGCAGGATGACTGGTCTTGTCTCCGCCCCCGCCTGTAATAAAGCCCAGCCACTGCTGCTCTCCTTGTGCAGGGTGACTGGTCTTGTCTCTGCCCCCTCCCGTAGTGGGCGGGGCCTGCTACATTAATGTTGGACGTGGTAATAAAAGTCCAGGTAACGGCTCTTTTCTCCCTCCAGGTCACAGCGTCCACATGGCCGCTCCGGAGGATCTGACAGACAAGCTTCTGCTGGCTAGTTGGGGTCTCCCGGGAGCCGTGCTGGAGAAGTATGGCCGCCTGGGGGTGTTGCAGATGTTTGAGTGGCAGGCGGAGTGCCTGATGTTGGGGCAGGTTCTGTCTGGGAAGAATCTGGTCTACTCCGGTGAGTGCCGCCATGATGTTCAGTCTCTGGAGGTCCACATGTGATAGATATAGATTATATATATATACCCGCCTGCTCCGCTCCTTATTGTGTGCCAGTAGTTGTACCGTGACCTATAATACCGGGTGACGGTTTGTCCCACTCATCATAAACACCAGAAGACATCGTCCGCCATTGTCATCCAGCAAAATCATTCAGAAGTTCTAGTAGTACAAAAGCTTCTCTGTGACCATCAACAATATGGGGAATGTCAGGTACAGCACAGTGCTTAGGTCACAGACAGCAATGTGCAGGTAATGGTACTGCATAGAATACATCCTGTACAGCGAACAAACTGGGGCTGACCCAATGGTAAGGCCCGGAATATGTTGAATACAGAAGTGAACAGCAACATATAGTACAGAGTGGGGTGGCCCAAAGCATATCACATACAGCACATTTAACGTATCTCTCTCTCTCGCCATCTCTCTCTCTCGCCATCTCTCTCTCTCGCCATCTCTCTCTCTCGCCATCTCTCTCTCTCTCTCGCCATCTCTCTCTCTCTCCAGCTCCGACAAGTGCCGGGAAAACTCTGGTGGCCGAACTGCTGATCCTAAAGAGGGTTCTGGAGACCCGGAAGAAAGCTTTATTCATCCTCCCCTTCGTCTCTGTGGCCAAAGAGAAAACCTATTACTTGCAGGTGATTGGTCACTTCTGACTGCAGGCTCAATTCAGAAAGTTATTTGATGATCTGCCTACATTGCATAGGGAAGTATAGAGGCCCAGTGATGAGCAACTGGGAACAACAGCAACTCAGCCAGGAAGTGGGAGGCCACGTCACATGACAGAGCGGGGTCAGCGCATGCTGAAGCGCACAGTGCTGTCTGCAGAGCCAATAGCTACAGACCTCCAAACTCCATGCGGCCTTCAGATTGGTACAACAACAGTGCGTAGAGCACTTCAATAGTGTATGTAATGAAGACGGGCGGGTTTTTATCCGATCATTTCTGTAGCATGTTGAGGGGGGGGAGGGGAAACCAGGGAATACAGTACATGAGCAGGTAAACTTTCAGTGTGTATATCACCAGACGAGCTACTTTGCTCTCTTCCCATGTAGTCTGTGGGATTGGAGTACAGGAGGGGGGGGGTCAAATAACTGAAAGGTAAAGACACATTTTTATCTTTTATAAGTTTACATTTTTGCTTGCAGCTCTCTTACGGTTCCTGTGCGTTTTCAGAGCCTGTTCCAGGAGGTCGGCGTGCGGGTGGAGGGGTACATGGGCAGCTCGGCTCCCTCCTGCGGCTTTTCATCTCTGGACGTCGCCGTCTGCACCATCGAGAAAGCCAACGGCCTGGTGAACCGTCTGATAGAAGAGGACAAGATCGACCTGTTGGGTACGTCGGACCTCAGCGAGTGCAGATACCGGTGTGCGCATGCGGTCCTGGTGCTGTGCCATATAGGAAGCTGCCGTAGATCTCCACCAGATCGGACCTGACATACGGAATATGAACTGCCCGCCGGTATCCCCGGCAGCTCGCATGCCTCTCGCTGGCCGTGAACACATTAAACGGGCAGAGTCTGCGTATAGCAAAGTTCCTTTCCCTGTCCATATGCCCGGCTGCTAACCCCGGCAAATGCAAGTTAAAGGAGAAGTATGAGGTGAGCGAAAATCACTCGCCCTCATAGTTGGAGGCAACGTGTGACAATGAAACTGTCACACGTCGGCTCAATAGATCGGGAGGTGAGCGAACGCATACCGCTCGCTTCTCGATCATCTCTCTGCAGAGTGCAGTGACTGTAAGTCGCGGCTCCCTGCAGGTAAAACCCCGCTCCAATCCACCAGCGCTGACTGGCGGGACGGATGGGGAGGGTACAGCTGGCTCTGCCTCTAGATAGGAAGAGTCAGCTGTCACTCACGCAGCTGGGCGGATCTCGACAGTAATGTCGGGATCCGTCCTGGCTGCGGCGGTCTCAGTATATAGTGCAGTGACTGTAAGTCACGGCTCCCTGCAGGGATTCCCCGATCCAATCCTCCAGCGCTGAGTGGTGGAACGGACGGGGGATGGGGGCGGTACAGCTGGCTCTGCCTCTAGATAGGAAGAGTCAGCTGTCACTCACGCAGCTGGGCGGATCTCGACAGTAATGCGGGGATCCGTCCTGGCTGCGGCGGTCTCAGTATATAGTGCAGTGACTGTAAGTCACGGCTCCCTGCAGGGATTCCCCGATCCAATCCTCCAGCGCTGAGTGGTGGAACGGACGGGGGATGGGGGCGGTACAGCTGGCTCTGCCTCTAGATAGGAAGAGTCAGCTGTCACTCACGCAGCTGGGCGGATCTCGACAGTAATGCGGGGATCCGTCCCGGCTGCGGCGGTCTCAGTATATAGTGCAGTGACTGTAAGTCACGGCTCCCTGCAGGGATTCCCCGATCCAATCCTCCAGCGCTGAGTGGTGGAACGGAGGGGGCGGGTACAGCTGGCTCTGCCTCTAGATAGGAAGAGTCAGCTGTCACTCACGCAGCAGGGTGGATCTCGACAGTAATGTGGGGATCCGTCCCGGCTGCGGCGGTCTCAGTATATAGTGCAGTGACTGTAAGTCACAGCTCCCTGCAGGTATTCCCCGCTCCAATCCACCAGCGCTGAGTGGTGGAACGGAGGGGGCGGGTACAGCTGGCTCTGCCTCTAGATAGGCAGAGCCAGCTGTCACTCACGCAGCTGTAGCTTGCGGTATACTGAGCTTTGGGTGACGGGAGGACGCTAATTTATGTCCTCCCGTGACCCTTAAGAGAACTATGGGGAAAAACACTGACCCCATAGTTCTCTTTTAACAGCCTTCCGTCCCCCTCTCAGCTGAACGGGGTGAGCAGCCAGAGGCAAAGCAAGCGGCTCCATCTCTCCGACTACTCTCTCTATGCCATGTCACAGCATAGAAAATAGAGCCGATCGCTTCTAATTGACCAAGGGCCTTGCACCAGGATCTGCTCAGGTTAGAAGACCCCTTTATGAACATTGGGGGTATTAAGACCGCTTCCTGCCCCATTATTATGATGCAGGAAACTGGTGCAAGTTGCGTGCCACATACAGGTTCTATAGTCTTGTACAACTACAAATCAAAGTGTGTGGTTCATTCTTCCTTGCACAGCTAGTGGAGCTCAGCGTGGTTGGGGGGTGTAGGGCGCTGTCTGTTTCTGTCATGTGACCCGCCCCCCCCCGCTATGTCTTTTCTCTTGCTCAGGGATGATGGTGGTGGATGAATTGCACATGTTGGGAGATTCACACCGTGGTTATCTGCTGGAACTGCTCCTCACGAAGGTCCAATACGTCACTCAGAAAAGAACCGCCTTGTGAGTAACTACAGTTGAAGCCGTCTCCGGGCATGCATAGCCGTTCCCTACCATTACTCCCTCCCACCCATTGAGAAAAAAAAAACCCTCCAGTGTTTTTACTAGAGGTGCAGCGAAATTACATTTTGAAACCGGAAATGAAGTCAGGCCGAGACCGAAACTAATATTTTTTTTCCCCCTAACTTTTCACAAACATTTTTTTTTTCTTTAAACTTTTAAAGGAGAACTATGGGGGGGAGGGGGTGCTTTTCACTCACCTCATAGTTCTAGCCGACCTGTGACAATGAGACTGTCACAGGCCGGCTCAGTAGATCGGGAGGTGAGCGAACACATACCGGCGTTCGCTCACCTCTCGATCCTGTCACGGCTCTCTGCCGTGACGGGGGAGGGGCTGGATTCCCCCCTCCCCGCTCCGATCCTCCAGCGCTGACTGGCGGAACGGACGGGGGAGGGGGCGGGTACAGCTGGCTCTGCCTTTTAGATAGGAAGAGCCAGCTGTCAGTCACGCAGCTGGGCGGATCCCGGCACAATTGTCAGGATCCGCTCCGGCTGCGGCGTCTCAGTATACCGCGAGCTGTAGCTCCCTATATACTGAGCCTAGGGTGACGGCAGGACGCTAGTTTGTGTCCTCCAGTTACCCTAAGGAGAACTATGGGGAAATGACTTAACCCCATAGTTCTCCTTTTAATTTTCTAAAATATTTTTATTGTTTTACTTTACTGTTGGGGGCCTTGGGGAAATATCGGGGGGTCTAAACAGATCCCTGATATTTCCTTTTTTAAAATAGAAAAGGAGATTGAGAACACAGAGTCCTCCATCTCTTTTTCTGCAGCCCCTGTTATCAATGAAGAGGAATCTTCTATACTGAGTGCTCCTGTTCATTCATAACGTGTGGAGATAGTACGAGTTACTATATCCACAATCGTGAATGAACAGGAAGTGATGTAGAGCACTTCCCATTCATTCATAACTGGTACATAGTAACTCGTAGTATATCCAGTTATTTACAAACATTCACAGTTTACTGATCACCGACTGCTTGTACCCGCTCTCCATCCTGGATCGGCTCTCACAGGAGGCTGAGCGGGTGGTGCGGCAGGAAAGCTCTGTCTATTTTTGACAGCTGACTCTTCCCCCCTCACCACCAGCTCGGCCTCCTGTGACAGCTGTCTTTGCCCTCCGCACCGCTCTCCATTCTGATTTGTCACAGATGGCTGAATGGGACGGTATTTTTTTTGGAAGAGGCAGGGCTTTTCTGCTTCATGTTAGCGCTCCCCCTTAATGACTGGTGATCTAATAAAGTGAGCAGTACAGAAGCGGCATCACTCCGAATCTGGTGAAAGGAGCAGTCAGAAGCCCCATTGCCATAGAGGATCTCACACTGCAGAAATACACCTATGAGGCCACAGGACAGGAGTGCCTAGGCACCGGAAATCCTCTGCCGTCATTAAAGGAGAACTATGAGGGGGGGTGCTTTTCACTCACCTCATAGTTCTAGCCGACCTGTGACAATGAGACTGTCACAGGTCGGCTCAGTAGATCGGGAGGTGAGCGAACACATACCGGCGTTCGCTCACCTCTCGATCCTGTCACGGCTCTCTGCCGTGACAGGGGAGGGGCTGGATTCCCCCCTCCCCGCTCCGATCCGCCAGCGCTGACTGGCGGAACGGACGGGGGAGGGGGCGGGTACAGCTGGCTCTGCCTCTAGATAGGCAGAACCAGCTGTCAGTCACGCAGCTGGGCGGATCCCGGCACAATTGTCGGGATCCGCTTCGGCGTCTCAGTATACCGCGAGCTACAGCTCCCTATATACTGAGCCTAGGGTGATGGGAGGACGCTAGTTTGTGTCCTCCCGTTACCCTAAGGAGAACTAAGAGGGAAAAGCCCTGACCCCATAGTTCTCCTTTTAATAAGCATTGGGACAGGGAGCAAAGGGTTCAGAGTGGGCAGGTTCCTGGAGTTCAGCTTTAAGTTAGGTTTTGGTGTGTCCGTTTTCTACATTCACACTTTTGTATGCCGTGTCCTACGTTGCAGGAAAAAAGATGGCGGCGGCGTCCGCTCGCCGAATGAAGTTCAGATCGTGGGGATGAGCGCCACCCTGCCCAACCTCAGCTTGTTGGCCTCCTGGCTGGACGCAGAGCTCTATCACACCGATTTCCGGCCCGTGCCCCTAAAGGAACATGTTAAAATCGGCAGAACTGTCTTTGATTCCACCATGACTCCTGTGCGAGAGTTCGAGCCCCTGATTCAGGCGAAGGTAAGAACACGTGGCCGGGGCAGGGTACGGCTGTACAGAGGGGTGAGAGCGGTCCGGAGATAGGAATATAGAATGGAGGGGGGTGAAACGTGTGCATCACATGTGCTCTCCATGTGTCCCCACCATGTCTGTCTCTCTGCAGGGTGACGACGATCACATTGTCAGCCTGTGTTACGAGACAATACGCGACGGTCACTCCATCCTGATCTTCTGTCCTTCCAAGAACTGGTGCGAGAAGCTGGTGGACACCATCGCCCGAGAGTTCTACAACCTCTATCACAAGGCCTTGCAGGAAAAGGCAGGTGAGCGGATGATTTCTGCACGGTAAGAATTGGGATTGGAGCGCAACGGCTGGTGCTGGTCACATGACTGTGCCGGGAACATTGGATGTTGTTTCCTCTTTCCTGGTGCTGGTCACATGACTGCTGGGACACCGGGTGTTGATTGCCTCTCCTATCGCTGGTCACATGACTGTCCTGGAACAATGGATGATGTTCCCCCCTTTCCTGGCATTGGTCACATGTCTGCTGGGACACTGGATGTTGATATCCTTCTCCTGGCATTGGTCACGTGACTGCCTATTGGAACAATGGATGACGTTTCCCCTCTCCTGGCATTGGTCTGCTGCAGTGTAGATCGTCCTCTTTAAGACTCTGCATGGTGTTCAGAGACGACCTTCTGTGTGCTACCATTGTACAGTTCTTACCAACCAAAAGTGTCCATGACAATGAATCTGACCCCCGGCCCGCCCTTCAGTCTTCTCTCTGACCCCCGGCGGCCCGCCCTTCAGTCTTCTCTCTGACCTCCGGCCCGCCCTTCAGTCTTCTCTCTGACCTCCGGCCCGCCCTTCAGTCTTCTCTCTGACCTCCGGCCCGCCCTTCAGTCTTCTCTCTGACCTCCGGCCCGCCCTTCAGTCTTCTCTCTGACCTCCGGCCCGCCCTTCAGTCTTCTCTCTGACCTCCGGCCCGCCCTTCAGTCTTCTCTCTGACCTCCGGCCCGCCCTTCAGTCTTCTCTCTGACCTCCGGCCCGCCCTTCAGTCTTCTCTCTGACCTCCGGCCCGCCCTTCAGTCTTCTCTCTGACCTCCGGCCCGCCCTTCAGTCTTCTCTCTGACCTCCGGCCCGCCCTTCAGTCTTCTCTCTGACCTCCGGCCCGCCCTTCAGTCTTCTCTCTGACCTCCGGCCCGCCCTTCAGTCTTCTCTCTGACCTCCGGCCCGCCCTTCAGTCTTCTCTCTGACCTCCGGCCCGCCCTTCAGTCTTCTCTCTGACCTCCGGCCCGCCCTTCAGTCTTCTCTCTGACCTCCGGCCCGCCCTTCAGTCTTCTCTCTGACCTCCGGCCCGCCCTTCAGTCTTCTCTCTGACCTCCGGCCCGCCCTTCAGTCTTCTCTCTGACCTCCGGCCCGCCCTTCAGTCTTCTCTCTGACCTCCGGCCCGCCCTTCAGTCTTCTCTCTGACCTCCGGCCCGCCCTTCAGTCTTCTCTCTGACCTCCGGCCCGCCCTTCAGTCTTCTCTCTGACCTCCGGCCCGCCCTTCAGTCTTCTCTCTGACCTCCGGCCCGCCCTTCAGTCTTCTCTCTGACCTCCGGCCCGCCCTTCAGTCTTCTCTCTGACCTCCGGCCCGCCCTTCAGTCTTCTCTCTGACCTCCGGCCCGCCCTTCAGTCTTCTCTCTGACCCCCGGCGGCCCGCCCTTCAGTCTTCTGGCTGACTTAGAGTTGCCCACCCCTGTTCTAGCGCTTTCCTCCCCAACCTGACTGTCCCTGGCACGCCCCTTTTATTCACTAGATTTCAGTTCCTTCCGTCATGAAGTGACAGCATCACATGTGGGCAGTCTGCATGCAAATCCAGCCTGCCTAGGAACGCTCGCTCCTCCAGACTGACACCCACCCATCAAGACCTTTTGATATTTGCATAACTTCTCCCAATAGCCGTCCCCCATGCTCGCATCAGGGCTCTTGAGAGGAGTACTGAGGCAAGGTGCTGTGATGTTTTCACAAACTATGTGCAGCCCCCTGCCGGCCTCTCCCACCAGCCATGACCTGCCTGCATTGCATAGAGAAGCACAGAGCCCCAGTGATGACATTACTGTTTCTAATATAGGGTATGCAATAAAAATACTACTACGGTAATGTATAGTGTATGTAAAATCTGTAACATATTTTCACCACTAGATGGCAGCTGAACACAATATATCCAGGCTGCAGTCATATGCCGAAATATTGAGAGCAACCCCTCCATCCGAAACACAATCTCAAAGCATATTGTGTCCATTGTTATCGCCTTGTTTACACGAATACTTGTCCTAATTCTTTTTTCTCTCTCCCCTTCCTTTCCTCTTTCCCTTTTGCTTTTCCATTCTCCTTCCTTTTCCATTACCCCTTTTCCTTTCCCCTTCCTTTCCTCTTTCCCTTTCCCCTTCTTTTCTGCTTTTTTCTTCTGCTTTTCCTCTTTCCTTCCTTTTCCCCTCTCCCTGTCGCTCTCGGAAGGTGGCTGCCTGGACCCCGGCATTCCTCCAGTGGCTCTGGACAAGGACGGTATACAGGATGTGGTCGGTCAGTTGAAGCGTTGCCCATCGGGATTGGACCTCATTCTGGGACGCACGGTGCCGTGGGGCGTGGCCTTCCATCACGCCGGTATTCATTGTTTGTTGCTTCTGTCATCTCCGTTTTCCGCAGTGAGGATGTGGAACCCGAGACTTCTGAAGGTTCCCTCCGCGGAGTCCTCTGCTGTAGTCCTTCAGTGAAGTGTCTCTTTATACTATTGCTCGTGTCTGATGTCCATGCGTGTAACATGTATTGCATGTTCCCAGGTCTGACCTTCGATGAGCGGGATATCATAGAAGGAGCCTTCCGCCAGGGCGTTGTGCGTGTCTTGGCAGCCACCTCCACCTTGTCCTCCGGGGTGAACCTTCCCGCGCGTCGGGTCATCATTAGAACCCCGCTCTTCAATGGCCGCCTCCTGGATATCCTCACCTACAAGCAGATGGCCGGGAGAGCCGGCAGGAAGGGAGTGGATACAGAGGGTGAGTGACGGGGGAAGTCCAGACTTCAGATGCTGGCGAAATAGTAAAACCCAATACCAGACAACACGTTAAATTGGGCAAGTGTTAGAACCTCCGTCTGGTGTTTCATTGCAGTCTGTGTTCCCAGGGAGGTGTTCTGTCTGAGAGGAGATATCTCCAGGAGGGACACAGACTGCAACAAACTACATTTCAGAAGGCTGCAGAGTCACTGCATAGGGAGCTGAGCTGCTGAGTCACTGCTGGGAGGGGTGAGCTGAGCTGCTGAGTCACTGGTGGGAGGAGGAAGAGCATAGGGAGCTTAACTCCTGAGTCACTGCTGGGAGGAGGAAGAGCACTGCTGGGAGGGGTTAGCTGAGCTGCTGAGTCACTGGTGGGAGGAGGAAGAGCATAGGGAGCTTAACTCCTGAGTCACTGCTGGTAGGGGTGAGCTGAGCTGCTGAGTCCCTGCTGGAAGAAGTAAGGTGGGCTGAGCTGTTGAGTGACAGCTGGAAGAAGGGTGAGCTGAGTTGCTGAGTCACTGCTTGGAAGGAGGAGGAAGGGTGAGCTTACCTACTGAGTCAACACTGGGAGAAGAAGGGTGGTCTGAGCTGCTGAGCCATTGCTGTGGGGGGGGGGCTGAGTCACTGCTGAAAGGGAAAGCAAGGTGAGCTGAATGGCTTACAATAAAGGACTCCAGTGCTTTGGCTGTGGTTTTTGACGATCAATTCCTCCACCGTACCACCAGCTACATAGGTCAGTGAGGCCTTATTCTAAAGGTCATTTTCTGCTTGTTAATCGTATGTAAATGCCCGGCTATTCATGTCGGGATGGATGAACTCTAGCTTCTTGTGTCCGCAGGTGAGAGCATACTTGTGTGTAAGCCTTCGGAGAGAGCGAAGGGCATCAGCTTGCTGCAGGGTTCTCTAAAGCCGGTGCGGAGCTGTCTTATGCGGAAGGAGGGGGCCGGAGTGACGGGCAGCATGATCCGCGCCATCCTGGAGGTGAGGCCATCTCTCTGCCAGAGTCTCAGATGTTTCTATCACAAAAAGCACATTTAATAAACTTGGCTGCAGGCCAGTAATACGAGGAACCTCGGTGAGCAGACAAACACTGCCCCCATGATGCTTCACCAGGACGGGAAGTAAGGGGGCGTCTACGATGCTTCACCAGGACGGGAAGTAAGGGGGCGTCTACGATGCTTCACCAGGACGGGAAGTAAGGGGGCGTCTACGATGCTTCACCAGGACGGGAAGTAAGGGGGCGTCTCCGATGCTTCCCCAGGACGGGAAGTAAGGGGGCGTCTACGATGCTTCACCAGGACGGGAAGTAAGGGGGCGTCTACGATGCTTCACCAGGACGGGAAGTAAGGGGGCGTCTACGATGCTTCACCAGGACGGGAAGTAAGGGGGCGTCTACGATGCTTCACCAGGACAGGAAGTCAGGGGGCGTCTACGATGCTTCCCCAGGACGGGAAGTCAGGGGGCGTCTACGATGCTTCCCCAGGACGGGAAGTCAGGGGGTGTCTACGATGCTTCCCCAGGACGGGAAGTCAGGGGGCGTCTACGATGAGGACGCAGAGCACAATAACAACCGTTTTATATTGTGAATGGAAATATCTATAAAACACGCAGCGGGTGGCGGTTTGATGGAGACGTGTCAGTAAATTTGTCTGATTTTCCTTTCGCTTTATGCGGTTTTAGTAATTTCCTGTTCATGTGTCTCAGATCATAGTCGGCGGCGTGGCGGACACCCCGGAAGACGTCCGTACTTACGCCTCCTGTACGCTGCTGGCTTCCAGTATGAGAGAAGAACACGAGGATCCACGAGAGGCCGACTCCGGAGCCATAGAGGCGTGCGTGGATTGGCTGCTGAGGAACGAGTTCGTTCAGGTGCTGGAGGAGGAGCAGGCTGGAGATAAAGGTATGACATCAGCATAATGCCTGCTGTGCCATTGACTTCAATGCACCGCCCCAAAATAAAGTGAGCCGACGGAGGTGCGTTCCAGAGGCCAAACGTTCTGGAATGCACACTTCATGGTGTGACTGGGCTCTCGAAGCGCACTTTCAGGCACCACAAGTGTTCTTAAACCTTGCAGTGGAGCTGCCCCGCTGTATTCCCCTCGGCCCTAATGCAAGCGCTGGGCGGGCTCTTAGGAGGAGTTATGCAAATATCCAAATGCCTGGATGGGTGTCAGTCAGGGGAAGTGGGCGTTCCCAGGCAGGCTATATTTGCATGTAGTCCGCCCTAGGTAACGCCCACATGTGATAATGAGCCTCTGTGAGTGAAAGGGGCGGGGCCAGAGTGCAGCTTGAATTGTTTTGCTGCAAAAAAAATCTATTTCTTATCAGCAGGAAATGTCTATTTGTGATGAGTTGTCACTGATGACTTGTGTTCTCTTCTCTCATTCACAGGGGAAGTCTATCGTCCCACAAAGCTCGGCGCTGCCACCTTTTCCTCCTCTCTCTCACCCTCGGAGGCTGTGGGAATATTTGCCGACCTCCAGAGAGCAATGAAGGGATTCGTGCTGGAGAACGATCTGCACATCCTCTATCTGGTATGCTGGGACTGATTTCATTGGTCAGTGTGTTAATGTAGAGCCTCGTGTGGGTTTCCTCTTGTACACCCAAACACTGCACAGGAGGCTGCTAAATACCCCTTACAAGTTCTAGGAGGCTTCTAGAGACCTCTTTGAAGTTCTAGGAGGCTGCTTCAGACCTCTCTGGGGTTCTAGGAGGCTGCTAGAGACCTCTCTGAAGTTCTAGGAGGCTGCTGGAGACCTCTTTGAAGTTCTTGGAGGTTGCTAGAGACCTTTCAAGTTCTGGGGGACTGCTAGAGACCTCTTTAAAGTTCTAAGACAGGGGTAGTCAAACTCCGGCTCTCCAGCTGTGGTGGAACTACAAAGATTCTCACACATGACTCCCGGAGAGAGATGAATCATGGGATTTGTAGTTCCACCACAGCTGGAGGGCCGGAGTTTGATTACCCCTGTTCTAGGAGGCTGCTGGAGACCTCTTTGAAGTTCTAGGAGGCTGCTGGAGACCTCTTTGAAGTTCTAGGAGGCTGCTGGAGACCTCTTTGAAGTTCTAGGAGACTGCTAGGGACTGCCTTCAAATGACAGTGCAGCTGCTGGAGACCTCTTTGAAGTTCTAGGAGACTGCTAGGGACTGCCTTCAAATGACAGTGCCTTTGGATGCAAATACTTGAGCGGCCTATACTGGGACGAGCCTCGCTCAATCTATCTAAGGTCTCAGTATTGGGAAACCTGACCCGCCTGTAAAGTTTCTGCTCGCTCAATGCCTGTGTCTTTTGCTCCAGGTCACCCCGGTGTACGAGGAATGGGCCACCATTGACTGGTACCAGTTTTTCTGTCTGTGGGAGAAGCTTCCCGTGTCCATGAAGCGCGTAGCGGAGCTGGTGGGGATCGAGGAGGGCTTCCTGGCGCGCTCGGTGAAGGGGAAAATCGTCGCCAAAAATGACCGTCAGCAGAGACAGATCGCCATCCATAAACGGTAACCGTGTGTTGTGTGTAACCCTGGAGACCGATCCGAGCTCGTTCATTGGGTGACGGCTGTATGGGCCCGGCAGAGCCCCACAGGGCACGGTGATGATGATGATGATTAAAGTATACACACTCATATTCATGGGTCTATGTGTATGTAAACCCATTTCAGCTCATTCTTGCATACGAGCATTAAAAAAGACCCAATCAATATCCTTTTATTGGCATCTTTTGTTGCGGTCACGTGATGCAGCCCATGTACCTCGCTGTCCAATAGTGGGGCAGAGCTTTGTTTAAGTCTGTGACTTCACTTAAAAAATGAACATTATATGAAAGAAAACATCCCCGGGCTCCCTTTTTAGATGTACATGCCTGCTGTCCACTAGATGCTGCAGACTGTAGCTGTGCAACCTGCTGATCAGCTGCTTGATTACACTCCGTCAGACTGATCAGCATATTGCACAGCTTAAGTCTGCAGCACCCAGCGGGCAGCAAGGAGGGACATGTGTTAGATGCAATGGCGTCCCGAGGCTGGGTGACACCCGGAGCGGTAACCGAGTGTCGCCCCGCCGAGGCGTCACTGCGTCAATGACGTCATCGCGCACGCACGGCAGTGTTCTGATACCTGCCGGCGGCCATCTTGGTGATGTACGCCGGCAGAGAGAGGAGGGGACAGTCACCCGGCGGGATAAGGTATGCTGCCGGGTCCCCTCCTGAAACTGTCGGGCCTTCGGTCCATGACCGAGCGCCCGACTTTTCAGAGGGGGTGGCACCAAAATGACTTTTTGGAGTCTTTTTGGTGTCACCCCTCCAATGGTGTCACCCGGGTGCGGGCCACACCCCCCTTGTGACGCCACTGATTAGATGTGCACGTTCCTACTTGCTGTCCAGACATACAGGTTCCTCTCTGCTGTCCACTACCTTCCCCTAACCTCTCATGTGTCCTCTCTCCAGGTTCTACACAAGTCTGGTCCTCCTGGAATTAATCAGCGAGGTCTCACTGTCAGAGCTGACCAAGAAGTACGGCTGCAGCCGAGGGCAGCTCCAATCCCTCCAACAGTCGGCTGCCACATACGCAGGTAAGCTGCAGTCGAGGGGTGTTCTGCCGCCATCTGGTGGAGGCTGACGGGTAACGCAAGTTTTGCTCAATGCCTCTCGATAATGCCGAAATATCTGCGAATGACCAATGTGATGTAAAGAAAATGGTCTGTGAGTGTGTTGTGCGTTACTGTGTAGATGTATGGTGTGTGGCTGGTATAGGTATGTATGGTCATTGTTGCAGGAATATTGTTGTGTAGTGATATGTACGGTGTCTGTGTGACGGGTACAGTGACGGTGTTCTGTCTGTGTG